TATTATAACTCTTAAACACTGCAATCAAAATTACAATTGAGAAAAGTTCTCAAACACTGATATCCAAATAATCATTATTAATCACACTATACAGATTATAAATTAATACTTACAATTTAAGGACATATTTAAAGTTTCAAGAAAGTTTCCCTGGGCAGCTGTAGAGTTATATCCCACTGGTATATGTCTACGGTGCTTTCGATGATAATTTAGAACTCTTTCATGATAATTATTGAACAATATTCGTAATTCACGTAAAGTATTTGTCCATTCCTCATACATATAACGTTCATTCTGTACAACAACTCTAAAATATAGAGGTCAAAAATGTTTTATGTCATCTTTTTTAAGCATTTAAGATATCCATTATCTGGAATGATGATTGTTTACAAGGTATAAATTAAAATGAATCTATTGACATTGTTTGTAAAGTTGTAGGGGCTGCGCTGTAGTTTACCCTGGATATCAAACAGTAGTCTTTTTAATAAAAACTGATACAATGTTGTTAACATCAGATTTGTTGTCCAATAATCTCACCTGTAAAAATCTTCATATATTCTGCCTTTATAATCAACTTGTAAACAATCACGTAAATATTCTGGAAATTCTTCTACAAAAGACATAATAGAAGATTATGTATAATGATATTCTCATATTTTTGCAAGCTGTTGCAAACTTAAATGTTTTCAATTTACTAATCTCTTTTGGAAATAAACAAGTTGAATTGATCTACTAGAATATACTATAACGTAACATTATGTTAATTGTATTATAAAGTAATGCTCAACCAATTTTATTCTAATATTCTAATATTTATTTAAAAATGTTTTTGTTTTTTTTTTTTTTTATTCATATTTTACTTCATACATACAATATATTTACATTTATACACTATTATGTTTCCTAAAGTTTACGTCAATTCAAGATCTAAAGGGCCATAAAAACGATACATTTACAAATTAATTACAGCCGTCAATAAATAAAGATAAACATACTTCACAATGTTGAACAAGAATCAGAATATTTTTAGAGTTAGAGTTAAAATTTCACCATACCCACTGATTGTACACTATAAAATGTACGAGAAAACAAAACAATAGTAACATCATGACAACAATTCTGTTCCTATAAAAAATAAACATTTATGGAAAAGGTACAGAACTTCTATACTGTTGCACTACTGAATGAATGTATGCTTTCACATAATAGATCATAAAAAAACCGAACAACATTCACCAATTTCACTCCTATAGTTAAAGATAGCTTGCCAGGCAAAGTAAAATACGCCCACTGGCAGCTTTGTTTGAAAATGAACATTGAAGAACAAGGGCAATAACTCATATTAAATATTTTGCGATATGTCTGATTTTCAATAGGGTTTATCCTTGGGTGATAATACACAATTTCACTAAATTTCATCACTATCCATCAAGAATTGTGGCCTGTAGAGTGTTAACGAGCTCAAAATTGAACGCATTTTGAAGAACAAGGGCAATAACTCATATAAAATATTTTTTTGATATTTCTGATTTTCAATAGGGTTCATCCTTGGGTGATAATAAACAATTTCAATAAGTTTCGTCAAAATCCGTTGAGAATTGTGGCCTGTAGAGTGTTAACGAGCTGAAAATTGAACGCGTTTTGAAGAACAAGGGCAATAACTCATATAAAATATTTTTCGATATTTCTGATTTTCAATAGGGTTTATCCTTGGGTGAAAATAAACAACTTCACGAAGTGTGGTCAAAATCCAGCAAGAATTGTGCCTTCTAGAGTGTTAACAAGGTAAAATTGAACGCGTTTTAAGAACAAGGGCAATAACTCATATTAAATATTTGTCCATCTTTTTGATTTTCAATAGGGTGATAATAAACAACTTCACCAAGTTTCATCAAAATCCAGCAAGAATTGTAGCATGTAGGGTGTTTACAAGATAAAAATTGAACGCCTTTTGAAGAACAAGGGCAAGAACTGGTATTAAATATTTTCCGATTTTTCTAAATTTCAATAGGGTTCATCCTTGGGTGATAATAAACAATTTCAGTAAGTTTCGTCAAAATCCGTCAAGAATTGTGCCTTCTAGAGTGTTTTCAAGCAAATTGTGGGAGGACGGACGGACTGATGGACATGGGTGACGACAATATACACTCCACATTTTATGTGGGCGTATAAAAAGTCAATATACTTGAATCAATGGTTAAAGAAATAATCTGATATGATTTTAATGAGGTACAATTATCTGATAAAAAATCTATGTTTGGAACAATTCGATTTCCCGTTTATCAGAAAACTATAAATATTTTAATTTGAAGTGTACATTGTAAAGAATATACTAGTCAATTTAAATCAGTCCAAATGTTACCTTCCATTTCAGAAAAAGATCAGTAAGAAAACCGTTTACAGCTTTTTCAAAATATAAATCACCACTGATGTCAAAATCCCACATTTCACTGGACATTTGTATAAATATCTGTACAACAGCAGTAGATGATCTGTATACAACCTAAAACATCCATAGATACCTTATTAAATAGATTAAAATATTCCCATTAATAGAGCTCTAAAGCATTGAAGGTTTATCCTATATTTACAATGTCTCTCACAAGCCTCAGAATACAAAGTAGGAATACAAGATTACATAGATCGCATTACAGAATATAACACAGTATAAAGACCAGACCAATTATAGTAAACCAAGTTCATCATCTACCATTAGAAAATCCATGTAGAAAGTCCTATTATATCGATTTTGGAAAGCTTTACACTTGCCCAAATAGCTATAGAAAATCCAAATATACTGTAATAGTATAACTAGTTACTTACTCTAGTAGTATCTGATACAACACCACAAGCTACTTTTTCACCTTTACTCCATAACTCTATAGCTTCAGCCCTGAATATAACAATATCATAAATTACTTTTCAAGATTATTATTTACATAATGTTCAATGTAATAATTATACAAATCTAATTATCACATGAAATGTGTTCAATTGCTACCGGCCTACCAACTAAACTACTATATGACTCATGATCATTTGACCTATATCATCACTGCAACTAAACGCAACACCCCATTGCCCCTCCAAAAAGATTACTTTATGTCTATGATCATTTCTATACTATTCTACACAGTAACCATTTACATTACAACTAGTAATTATAGTGTAGGACAAAGGAAGATAACTTCCACTATAGCAAACAATACTTACCTCATCTCTGTAAATTCTATTTTTTTATTTAGATATACACATCCTCCAATCTAAATATAAATATAACAATTTTGAGAGAAAACATACCATTTAATGCATTTCATAACTTTATGTCTGGTATTTTTATCATATGATATTGATCATAATTTTTAAATTCTAAAATCGTTATGCTTGCCTAAAAGCCATTTTTTTTTTATTGAACATTAAATTTAACACAATTTATTTAGGATACAAAACTGTATGTTTAGCAGATAATTACTCACCAAACTTTTCCACATTCTGTACATATCACTTCTACTAAAATACTGTTCTTTAAATAACAACTCCACCAGATCTAACGAAACATCCTGCAAAAAATATATATTCAAATATAATCTAAAAATGAAAAATTAAAATTAGTCTTAAACCCAGTACGAAATAAAGTATCAATAGTAATAAGATCAACAAAGTATACTATCTG